CAAGTTCAATAGAGTATAGTGTTTAAAACTACAATGCTAACATACTTTAAAATGAGAAAAATAAGTATATCAAATAATAACTTGGATCTATGAAAAAAGCAACTTTTGCAAAATGAAATATGTCTGCTTTTAGGAAGGAGACAACTGACCTAAATCTATTTCTTAAAGATATCTTATTGCCTCATCTTCCTATATTACTTTTAGGGTTTTTTATATATTTTATAATCTCATACTACAACAAAATAACATTTATATTACCTGTGCTAAAACATTTCAAACAATATGGGGCATTGCATGAGCTCAATGACTCAGATAATGTCTTATGCTGAATATTACCATTTCTCATTTCAAATACGGGTGTTTTTACATATACAAAATGATGCAAATTGTTTGTATGATTTCATAGTGGCCTTAATAAAGTGGCACAGTGATGGTGGCACAGTGGTTAGATTGTAGTATTGCAGGGCTAATTCTGCCCACAGCCAGGAGTTAGATCTTGATGGGCTCAAGGTTGATTCAGCCTTCCATCCTTTCGAGGTCAGTAAAATGAGGACCCAGATTGTTGGGGGCAATATGCTGACTCTGTAAAAGCACTTAGAGATGGCTGTAATACATGGCGCTATATAATTCTAAGTGCTATTGCTATTGTTGTTCCTCTGAAATGCGTTCAACTTCTACACAATAAATGATTTCTCATTGACACGTCAGATATTTTCACTCCGCCACAACCCAAAAGAATGCCTGATATCTTTTTTCTTTATAACTATTTTTTTATTCCCAAATTCACTGTCTTCATCAATCTGGTCAATCTTTTGTCATAAATAATCAAATCAATCATCCTTGATTTATTAACCATTAGGGAAGCTCTAACTCTAGTTCATAGCTATAGTCTAAGTAGTATGAAAATATGGCCATCTTTTTGCTGGGATTTTAATTTTAAGGAATAATAAAGCCAAGGATACTCAAATATATATCTTAGTAATTGCAAATAAATAACTTATAATCGTAAATGATTAAAAACTGAATATGAGTAAGCAACGAGATGTGGAAGGAAAAAAGCATTTTAATCTGCATCAATAAAAGTAGTTTCCAAATCAAAGAACCATCCAGTGCATTGGGCATAAAAAAAGACAACTGAGCATTAAACACCTAAATTTAAATACCTGAATATCCCAGAAAAAGTTTATTTACTATATTACTTTATCCACATTATTAATTAATTTTAATTAATAAAATTACTGTATCCACTTTATTAATTTTCTCCACTACCATACCATAAAACACAAACATTTATTTGAAAAGCATACGGGGAAATTGACAGAATTATGATTTCACAAAAGCCACTTAGAATTGGACCTTCTGCTAAGGGAATTACCTTCTTACCTGCTAAGTCATGTCTGCAATGCTGATAGAAGAAGGTGGAGAACCCGATAAACACTGACTCAGCTGAAGGGCGGTTCTCTGCTGTAAACACGCAGTAAACAACCCAACAGAATTCAGCAGCATGGCATTGTGGGGGGCGGGGGAAGGTGGTCCATATAACATGATTGCTCCATGAATTGCACTGGCTGCTGGTTTGCTTCTGGGTACAATTCAACATGTTGGTAATCACCTTTAAAGCCCTTCATGGCATGACTCCTGGCTACTTGAAGGACCATCTCATTCTACTGGGATTGGCCCAACCCACTCTTGTGGGCAACATCAGTCAGGGTATTTTGGCTGGCAGGGACAGGAAAACAGTCTTCCCTGTTGTTGCACCCATCCTCTGGAACACCTTGCTTCACCCCCACCACTTCCCAGAGTGAGATCAGGATAAATCCTCCTTACTTTCTATAAGAGCTTAAAGACCCGGTTCTGCCAGTTGGCTTGGGGCTCCAATGGAGGAGTTTCACATTGGGGGCGGTTGATAGATTAACAACAGATCCCACCCTCCCTCCTCTTCTCATCATACTCCCTCCCTCCCTTCCCATATTTTTAGCGAGGTTTTTATCATATTGTAATCATTGAAGTTTATATAGTTTTATATTTTGATATTGTAAGCAGGTGGTGGGTGGGATAATGACACATTTTACAAATAAAGAAAGAAAGAAAGAACAAGTGAACATCTGAAGACAGTCCAAAACCAAATTTATTTACTTTTTATGATTTATGAAACCAATTTATCTAGCTGCCATCTGATAAAAAAAGCAACTCCAGGTGGCCTACAGCACACCTAGAAAGAGTTAATAAATACATTAAAATATTTTTTTTAAAAAAAAACCCTAAAACAAAGAAAATATTTATTTATTAAACCAATTTATATCACCGCCTATCTCACAAACAAGTGACTCTGGGCGGTTATAAAAATTAGTTTAATAAATAAATATATTTTTCATTTTGTTTTGGTTTCAAATGGAGAACTCTAACCCAAATAGACAGGAGCACTCTAGACAGATTAGGAGAGAGATGTACTCTGGGGGCAGAGCAAAGTTGCAGGTTGCAACTTTGAAAAAGAAAGGGAGTTCCATAGAGAGCAACATAATCTGTTTCTGCCCTCCAGAAACATTTCCTGCCCGCTGTGGCATCGGGGCAACTGGGCAATGCAGATAATTCCTGACATTGGTTCAGAGAAGCAAGCCAACAAAGAAAAAAACCCCAATAAAGTAGAAATGAAGTCCTCTTGAAGAAAGAGGGATGAAGCTGGGTACATTTAGCTGAGAGGGGAGGGGAAAAAAGCATTCTGTAAAGACTTACCCAAGAAAGTCACAACCTGTGCTCTGTCATTCCAAAATACAAGACACAGAAGACCAATGAAACAGATTGCTGTTCAAGGTTTGCTAGCAGAGAGGCCAGTTTAACAGCGGGGTGATGACAGAGATAGGTAGAGAGCTCTTTGCCTCACAGGAAGTGTTCAAGCAAGGGCTAGACAGCCTCCTGTTTAGGATGTTTTAATTTCAATTTCTGCACTGAGCAGGGAGTTCGAAAGAGAGCTAATCTAAATAGCTCCTATCATTTTTTTTAAAAAAAATTGTAATTCCTTCAAGCTGTCTCCCATCACACAATTCAGTACAGGTAGTCCTCGACTTACGACCACAACTGGGCCCAAAATTTCTGTTGCTAAATGAGACAGTTGTTAAATGAATTTTCCCTGATTTGTACCTCCTTTCTTGCCACAGATGTTAAGTGGATCGCTGCAGTTGTTAAGTCAGTAACACATTTATTAAGTGAATCAGGCTTCCCCTGAGACTTTGCTTGTCAGAAGGTTTCAAGAATGTGATTGCATAAGCCCCGGGACACTTGCAAATGTCATAAAGATGAATCAGTTGCCAAGGGTCTGAATTTAGATCACGTGACCATTGGCTTGCTGCAGTGGTCGTACGTGTATAAAGCAGCCGTAAGTCAGTTTTTTTTCCAGTGCCATTGTAACTTTGAACAGTCACTAAATGAACTGCTGTAAGTCGAGGACCGCCTGTATATAAATCTACAGTAATTCATGCTTCCGCTTCTTCTTAATTCTAGCCTATCGTTTGGTAAAAAAATGGTGTTCTGCTCAGGTTTCAGTGCCAACCAGCAAGTTAGTGTGACCTTGAAGAGAAAACAATAGAATAAAAAGCTCCATAATGATATTCCTTGTTTCTGCCTTACTTTGGGAGTATAATATACCGAGGCAGGAGAAAACCAACGTCCTTTGCACGTCTTCCTCTGGGTCTTATGTATAAACAACTGGCATAATTCTTTCAGTCCTCTCATGCTTAAGTAGTTCTGTGAAATTATTTGCTGAAGCTGTAAGTTCAGCGGCACTTTCATAAGCTTGCCTCTGTTGTAAGCAGCCTGGATGGAAAAGAACAAAAATAGAAAGAGTGTGAGTTCTTATGCCTCACTTTAGTAACAGTGTCACATTCGGTTTTGAAGTGTCTGTGTCTCTGATACAGACATCCTGAAGGTGCCATCAAGCGTCTAAATAATAGCCAGCATTTGCAGGCAGACGGTTTGATGGCTGTTAATTGAGGGGCTGCAAAAGTCCACCATGGTGTGCAGCAAATTACACACAGGGTGAATCTCTCCCTAGCGCAATACAACAAGAAACAGCAGAGGGAGCTGTCAATCTTCACAGAAACAAAGCCACGTGGCTTGGCGTTGGTCCTTCTGATCCTGCCATGATTAATGGCACTGAGATAAGGTGGAAAGTAAATCTATTTATCTCTCAGTTTAATCAGGTCTAAATTTTCAAAGATTTCTTTTTTTTTTAATCCCTTCCATTCTTAAACATCCAATGTTTTTTTTCTCATAATTTCTTAAACATCTGTTCTTGTCTGATTGACATTTGGTGCTTCAATAGCAGGGGTGTCAAATCCTGGCACCTTTAAGATGGGTGGACTTCAACTCCCATGCTGGCTAGGGAATTCTGGGAATTGAAGTCCACAAGTCTTAAAGTTGCCAAGTTTGTCATCCCTGATCTACAGCAAGGCCAGGCAAAAATAGAATTCACACACTGCAGCCCTGGGGCGTACAACAAACCATTTTATTCAGCTCATAAACTCTGAATGCAGAGGAGCAAATTATCTTTGTCGGCTTGTAAACATGGTAGTGCTTTCCACCTTTTCTTCTTCATGTAGCCCCAGGACCACTGCCCAGTAAAATGGTAGTCTGCTCTATTTTTGCTTTTAAATCAGAGCTATTGCAAAGAGGGAAGGAAAGCATGCAGTGGCACCGTTTTTATGCATCATAATGCAAATCATTTCAATGCCACACACAGATTTATCTCTTGTCAAGCTCTATGCTACGTGAAACATGGTACAGATCATTGCTGTCTTCACTTGAGTGCTAATTTGCCCAAGGCAAATCTTTTAAAATGCAGTTCGGTATTAAATGACATGATTGCAGAATGAATGTAGACACTGAACTGGGGGGAAGGGAAGCCAAAAGGGAGGTGGAGAAAACAAGTTTGGAATCGTTGTGGGGAGAACATCAACATGTTTTCTTATAATGTATTTTGTATTTGGAAGTGAGTGGGAGTAATGGCCATTTCTTTCTTTTATTTTGCTTTGTATGTAAAATAGCATTTGGGGTGTGGCAATCAACAGGAACTAAAACTAACAAATCTCAAGGGCAAATATGTTAACTTACAAATGACAAAACCTAGAAGAAAGGAGAAAAACCACTTAGTGTTATTAAACTAGGCAGATAATTGCTGCAGACAGATTCTCTACTGGACCCATTCACTAGGGTTAGATTGAATTCTTTGTGTGGTTGTAGGTTTTTAAACTCTTTCTTCACAGACCAAGAAATGTTTGATAGATAGATAGATAGATAGATAGATAGATAGATAGATAGATAGATAGATAGATAGACAGACAGACCTGTGACCAGTTAAGAGACATAACATAACTTCACATGAGTCATTGCTCCAGAAATAACAATCCTAAGAAATCTTGCAGGAATGTTCTTCTACTTGGAATATCACTCAAAGTGGGCTGCTGGGGGTTTGCAGGGGTTGGGGAGAGCCCCTGTGCAGTTTGGAGAACCCAAATCCCACTCCTGGCTGGCCCCACCCACCTCTCCCCTCCCAGGAGACCCCAAGCACGTTTTGGATGCAGGTAAGTGCAGGGCGCGCATGGAAGAACAGGGAGGGAGAAAAACGGATCTCCCAGAAGTTCAAGAAGGCTGGAAAGAGGCCCATTTCTGGCTTACAGAGAACCTCCAGAGCCTGGGGAGGCTATTTTTGCCCTCCCAGACACTCGAGGAAAGCCTCCAGAGTACAGGGAGGGCAAAAACATATACCCAGTGCCATGGTACAGGAGCCAACTAGGCCACACCCACCATGGCCATACCCACCCAGCAACCATTGCCCACCATGGCCATGCCCACCCAGACAACCCATTGCTAACAATTTTGAAGCCCACCCCTGATATAACTAATTCAGCTTTATTTGTGTTTGTTTTTTTCATCTGAATCTAAATGGTCACAGAATAGAATTATGTGTGTGTGTGTGTGTGTGTGTGTGTGTGTGTGTGTGTGTGTGTGTGTATTTGTTTTCTTAAGTTTTCGTGGGTACTTACATGTATGGCATTCAGCTTTGTTCGGGTATTTTCCCACGTATCTGAGAAAGTCCAGAAATATTTCACAAGAAGAGTTCTCCACTCCTCTACTCATTGTAGAATACCTTATGCCACCAGACTTGAAATTCTAGAACTAGAAAACCTTGAATTACGCCGTCTTCGGTCTGATTTAAACATGGTATATAAAATCATACATTGCAATGTCCTACCTGTCAATGAATACTTCAGCTTCAACCATAACAACACAAGAGCACACAATAGATACAAACTCAAAGTTAACCGCATCAAACTTGATTGCAGGAAATACGACTTCAGCAATAGAGTGGTCAATGTCTGGAATACTCTACCCGACTCTGTAGTTTCTTCCCCAAACCCCAAAAACTTTAACCCTAGACTGTCTACTATTGACCTCACCCCTTTCCTAAGAGGTCTGTAGGGGGCGTGCATAAGCGCACCAACGTGCCTACCGTCCCTGTCCTATTGTTTCTCTTATTCTTCTTTTATTTTTCTTATATGTACTCATTTCATGTATTCACAACTATGTATACACTTATACTTACTATCTTGTAAACAATCGGCAAATCAAATAAATAAATAAATAAATAAATATTTAATAGTGTTATAAATTAGATTGAGAAATAAGAGTATAAGTGAATAGAATGAAGTAATTCATATAGTTATAGACTTTATTAACTAGTGTGAACACTGTTATGGAATTGTTGTAAAAAGTGGAAATTGTTTTTTAAATGTTGAAATGTTGAATAAATAAATTTTAAAAAAGAATAGAATAGAATAGATGCAATGCAATGCAATGCAATGCAATAATTTACTGACCAAGTGTGATTGGACACAGAAGGAATTTCTTTCCCATGTATAAGCTTACAGTGTACATATTAACTGTGGGTAACGTCATACATTTTAGTTACAATCATTAATCATATGTTACAAACAATTGATAAATCATAAGAAACCAATAGAAGATAGTAGGAAAGATGAGAAGATGAGAAAAGATGAGAAATGAGACAATGCTATGAAATTAAGTGTTCAACAGAGTGATGGCATGGGGGAAAATCTTTGTCTAGTTGTTTTGACATGCAATGCCCTATAGTGGTGTCCTCAGAGGAGAAGTTTTTATTTTTATTTATTTGATTTATTTGATTTGCCAATTGTTTACAAGATAATAAGTATAAGTGTATACATAGTTGTGAATACATGAAATGGGTACATATAAGAAAAATAAAAGAAGAATAAGAGAAACAATAGGACAGGGAGGGTAGGCACCTTGGTGCGCTTATGCACGCCCCCTACAGACCTCTTAGGAAAGGGGTGAGGTCAATAGTAGACAGTCTAAGGTTAAAGTTTTTGGGGTTTGGGGAAGAAACTACAGAGTCGGGTAGAGTATTCCAGACATTGACCACTCTATTGCTGAAGTCGTATTTCCTGCAATCAAGTTTGGTGCGGTTAACTTTGAGTTTGTATCTATTGTGTGCTCTTGTGTTGTTATGGTTGAAGCTGAAGTATTCATTGACAGGTAGGACATTGCAATGTATGATTTTATATACCATGCTTAAATCAGACCGAAGACGGCGTAATTCAAGGTTTTCTAGTTCTAGAATTTCAAGTCTGGTGGCATAAGGTATTCTACAACGAGTAGAGGAGTGGAGAACTCTTCTTGTGAAATATTTCTGGACTTTCTCAATTGTGCTAATATCAGATACGTAATGTGGGTTCCAGACTGATGAACTGTATTCGAGTATTGGTCTAGCAAATGTTTTGTATGCTCTGGTTAGTAGTGTGATATTACCAGAGAAAAAGCTACGTAGGATTAGGTTAACAACTCTTAATGCCTTTTTGGCTATGTAGTTGCAGTGGGCTCTAGCACTTAGATCATTAGAGGTGAGTATTCCAAGGTCCTTTACAGAGCTTGGGTCATCAACAAGATCTTCACTATTCAGCTTGTATTTTATTTTCTGATTTTTTTTGCCAATATGTAAGACAGAGCATTTATTTGTTGAGATTTGAAGTTGCCATTTGTTTGACCATTCTGATACATAGTCAAGATCTTTTTGTAGGGTAGCAGTATTGTCTGTGGTATTGAACAGCTTTACATCATCAGCGAAAAGAACGCAATTGCTCTTAATATGATCACAGAGGTCATTTATGTAGAGTATGAAGAGAGTTGGTCCTAGAACACTGCCTTGGGGGACACCACTATTGACAGGTACAGAATTTGATAGGACGCTCCCAATTTTGACCATTTGTTGTCTGTTTGCCAGGAATGCTTCTATCCAGTTATTCAGTTGTCCAGAGATACCATAGGATTTTATTTTTAGGAGTAGTTTGTCATGTACCACTGAATCAAAGGCTTTACAGAAGTCTATGTAGATTGCGTCTATTGCTTTGCCCTGGTCGAGTTGTGTCGTCCATATGTTTTTGCAGTGTAAGAGTTGCAGATTACAGGATAGTTTTTTCTGAAACCAAATTGTTGAAACAGTTTGTGTCCAGGGTGTGCGAAGTCCGTAGATATTTTCTCGGCAACCCTCTTTCTGGTTCGTGCAGCATACAAATCCTCAATGGAAGGCAGACTGGTTGCGATTGTGCTGCAGTTCTAACTATCCATTGAAATCTGTACTTGCCTTGTTTGGTTGCTGTGCCAAACCAGACAGTTATTGAAGTACAAATGACAGACTCAATAATTCCTCTGTAGAACTGTATCAGCAGATCCTTGGGCAATCTGAGCTGAACAGTTTTTGTTGTGCTTGTCAAATGATAAATAAATATAACAATGGCACAAAACTATATAGGGAAGGATGCATAGGAACAATAGGGATATTGCTATCATTCAGATAATCCTTGATTTATAACCATTCATTTAACAACCATTCAAAGTTACAATGGTGCTAAAAAAAGTGACTTATGACTGGTCCTCACACTTGTGACTGTTGCGGAATCGCCACAATTATGTGATCAAAATTAAGTCACCTGGCACCTGCCATATATTTATGATGGTTGCAGTGTCCCAGTATCACATGATTGTCATTTGTGACTTTCCCAGGGAGCTTTTGACAATGAAGTCAATTGGGGAAGCTAAATTTATTTAATGACCATGTGATCTGCTAAATAAACGATCGTAAAATTTGTCACCACTCACTTAATGATTGCATTTGTTTAGCAAAAGACATTTGGGTCCCACCCATTGTGGCCTTAATTCGTGGATTATCTGTGCTTGAAAAAAGAAGAGTCTGAGGAAGTTGATGAAGAAGGTTTTTTTACTACAGGGGGTAGTAAAGGCAGGAGACAGAGTTCTAGTACTGTTTGAGACATGAAAGCCACCTGGCAGTCACTGTCTTAGTCCACCTCACCTCACAGGGTTCTTGTTGTGAGAAAAATAGGAGGAGGAACGTGGATTGGATAGGTTCACTGCCATGAGTTATTTATAAAAAATAATAAATGTTGGAGATAAATAAATAAATAACTCAGAAACTACTGAAGAGAACTGAGTGCTTCACATTTTAAGAAACTACTCCATAAATTAAAATATTGAAAATTACTCATATTAAGAAAGCTGTCATTTTAAACAATGCTGAACATTATCCATGTAGGAATCAAAAGGGACATGGCACGGAGGAATTTATTAGTACTCTCAATTCTGAGCACAGTGTCGGTAATTCACTATAATTGATACAAAAGTACAATGATCTCCATTTCTTCTTGATACTGTATAATGGGAGAAGAAGAGCAAGGCAAATGCATTATACATAGTATTTAAAAACAATGCATGTAGATTGCCAGAAATCAGTCTAGTACCATCTAAGTGTCCAGTTGTAAAGTCATAAAGTAAATTATCATAATCTGGGTTACAATAGCCTGGATAGCCAAAATAAGTCTGTTTCCCATCAGAAACTTTTTAATTTTTATTTTGCACAATACATTTTATTGTAAAAGTCAATGTTTGCAGACGTATCTGACTAAATGGTTTGCAGACTAAACCATTTATAACTTTCTTAAATCAAAACCATACTTAGGTTTTTACTGTTTATTTCAAATTATTTAAACCCTTAAGCTTAAAATGAATTTTAATGAATGAATTAATGAATTAAATTATCTTTTTCCTTTGGTTCAGAGTTGAAGATAAACCATACTCAAAGACTTTTCAAGCCTGTCTTTTCAAAGGTTTCCAAAGCTTTAAAATGGTTAATAGACCGTTTCCAAAAACAATTAGAAAGTAAGGTTTGTAAACTTTGTGTCACCATAGTGGCAAACAAGATGCTACAGTAATACCTTTGTCTCCCAGTATTCAACCCATTGTCCTGGGGTCTCCTTGAGACCAACAGCTGTACCTAGTACATTTGGACAATCTCCCATTCTCTCCTTATCTGGAGAAATTCCTAGGAACCGGTCTACTCAGATTAAAGAATGTAAATGCAAATACACCCAAGCACAAACATAGCTTCCTTCCAACATGCACCGTAAAAGTTTCTATATATCCCTTTACCAATACTAAATATTTTAGTCCCAGGTCCCAGGTAATTTGTATGAAAGAGGAGGGGGGAGGGTGGGGAGGGGAAGGAAGAGGAGAGGAGGAAGCAGGGAAGTAGGATTGGCACTAAGCTTTTGCAAAAGAAATTGCACCTTAATTAACCTGTATGAAAAATTGATTTTACAATCCAATGTTGTAGCAAATCTTAATGCATTCAGAAATATGTATATGATGAATCTATGCTATATCTTAGGCAACAGGATTATTGCTGTTTAGTGGCTGAAGTATGTTCATTATACTTACAGTATGCATTTTACAAGATGCTACTATATTTTTGCCCATACAATCTATATGCAGTTACTTTCTAAGACAAGATTTGGAAACTTGCATGGAAAAATTAGCAGTGCCCAAAACGTTGTCAGTAATTCTGAGTAAACAAATCCTGCCTTGCTCCCAGAAATAGATTTCTGGCTTTTGAAAAAAGAAAAGCAAATCACTTGTTTTAGCTAAAACAGTTATTATCAACTTAGAATGGATAAATGGCATGCTCCTCTTCTTAAAATATCTTCTGTTTCCACTATCTTTATTCAGCACTAAACTGCCAGGCAACAAGGGTTTTAAGTAGGCTTTAGTAAGGTCAAGGCTAATTGGAAAGATGTTCTATCAACAAGAACAGGTATTATTCAAAGTTTGAAATCCATCTTACATTTAACATTCCTTGTAACAAAATAGTTATAAGGGAAACTCTCAAGGCCCAAACCACTTCCTGGAACTATAGTAATTTCACAGACTGCATTTTTGTGCCAAAGGTGAAATCTTGCCTCACAGCTCAATTCTTTATATTCTAGAGTTAACAAAGTCCTAAAATCCACTCATCCCATCAATGTCAAGTATACTGTATTTTGTTTCATTACAAAACATGACCATTGGAATGTCCTGGACCTCAATCATAGAGTTGGCAGGGACCTTGGAGGTCTTCTAGTCCAGCCCTCTGCTCAAGCAGGAGACCAACAACTTCTGAAAGGAAAAGTCATTCCAGCAGTAAATTGCCCTCACTGTTAGGAAATTTCTTCTTAATTCCAGATTCCTTCTTTCCTTGATTAATTTCCATCCATTTTTTTTTTGTCTTGCCTTCTGTGCTTTGGGAAATAAGTTGACCCCCTCCACTTTGTGGCAACCCCTCAAATACTGGAAGGCTTTTCAACAACTTTATCCATACGTTACAGATAAGATAAATCTGGGAGGGAGCAAATTCTACACAGGGAGAGAGAGAAGATCCCCCCAAATGAGGTAGCTCTGCATCTGGATAAGAAGAGGGAAAGGGTGGATGGGAAAACTGCCTGATTTTGTCTCCAATGTCTGCTTTACAAGTTTGCTGCTCTTTCTGTCAAGAAGATTTTCGTGTTCAAACTTTCTGCCAGTTTTATTACAAAGAAGGGGAGAGAGGCAGCTTCATTTTTCCTACCTCAGTGCTATTTTGCATGCTGAGTATTTCTAGCTATAGCCACTCATTGTTAATAATTTCCTTGTAGGATGTATGGATCCCTCCCTCCCTCATCACCTCTCAACTGACTGGCAGATTACAGACACATTGGGGGAATGCCAGCTGAAGCAAAGCGGACTTTCCTAAAGTTTCTTGCTTACCCTCTTACCCTCTGAGAGTCAAACTATATCTAATTACGCATCTAGTGCTGTTCTGGAAGAGGGCTAAATCTACACCTAAAAAATAGCCTAGCTGACATCTTGCATGCAGAGGATGAAGAGAGAGACAGCTCCCGGAAGAATTCTCTCTTGTTTCAACAGGTATACTATTAGAAGGATGTAGCAAATACTGAATAATTGAAAAATGAAGGATTATATGCTGATACAGATGTGTATAACAACATTAGACCGGGTAAGTCTGATTAATGTAGCAATTCTCGTTGTAACAATATTACTTTTGTATCAAAATGAATGACACTCAGACGCCACACTGTCCATAAAGTGATATTGATGTATGTTTTTTTAAAAAAAACTTTACCAAAAAAAAAAAAAAAAGGAACCCTCTCTTGTTTCAACCAGTTCCCTTTTATGTGACCGGTCAGTCAATCTTTTTAAGCAAGAGTTTTAACATTTTTTCAGAAGAGCGCTAGGCTTACCTTGAGTCATCCAAGGGATAGATCAGTGGCACAAAGGTTGCTCACATCAGCAATCTGTCACTCAGATAATTGGACAGATGTGTAAAGATGTCTCTTGTTGAAATGGGCAGCCATGGTAAACAAATAAATGAATAAATAAAAAATAAATACAGGTAGTCCTCGGCTTACAACGACAACTGGCCTCAAAATTTTCATTGCTAAGCAAGACAGTTGGGTTTTTTTTTTCTTTCATCTTACTATATTATTAGTTTATCGAAATATAAAATGCAGAAGTACAAGAAAGAAATAAAAATAAGGGGAAAATAGGGGAGGAAAGGGGGAAGAGAACAAGTATAGGATAGAGGTCTATGGAGATTCTCAGTCATCCAGGTCATGGTTGTCTGAAAGGTGCTTTTTCAAGATGCAACTGGACTTCCTTGTTTTTATTTGAAGACATTTCACTTTTCATCCAAGAAGCTTCTTCAGCTCTGTAAGATAGAGGGGGGAAAGAGAAAGAAAATCATTAACTTCTGACTCCTTTTGGGGCAGTTAGAATAAGGCAGTAACGTGAAACCTCGATTTTTTTACTTTTATAGAATAGTATACACTAGCAGTTTCATTTGCTTTCCACATCAAGTACAATGTCCAAAAGTGATTTCCAAGTAGAAACAAAATTAATTATGTTCTTTTCTTTGATCAAAGCAGTCAGTTTAGCCACCTCTACTAACACCCTGAACTTTTGCAGCCATCCGTCCATTGTAGGAATCAAAGTGTCCTTCCATTTTTGTGCATAAAATAATCTTGCTGCTGTCAACATATATAACATCAAAGTTCCATTTTTTTTTTCAGATTCTTTATCCATTATGCCTGAAAGAAAAGTATCTGGTTTTATCTGTATATTCACTTAAATAATCTTCTGTATTAAAATGTGAATCCTACTCCAATATTTCTTTGCTTTGTCACATGTTCACCATAAAAAGTTCCTTCTTTACATTTATATTTCCTGTGTCCATTTGAGATAACTTTATACATTCTTGACAACTTATCCAGTGTTAGATACCAACAATGTATCATCTTATAAAAGTTTTCTTTTAAATTATAATTTAATCTGTATTTTGGACTTTTTGTCCAAATATTTTTCCATTGTTCAAGCATTACATTATATCCGAAGTTTTTTGCCCACTGAATCATACAATGCTTTACATACTCATTCTCCAAATTCAATGTCAATAACAATTTATAAATCTTAGAAATAATATGTTCATCACTATCATATAGTAAAATTTCCAATTCATTTTTCACAAAATCAAGTCCATAATTCTTTTTGTCTAGTTTAAATCTTTCTTTGAACTGTAAATTTTTGAACCAATGGCAAACACATCCTTCTGATATCAACTCTTCTTTAGATTTGAGGATAGGGTCACTGTAATTTAAAGATATTGTTTCACTATAAGTCCACCAGTCTGATCTCATCACAATTTCTTTTCTAAAAAAAAAAAGTTTCCAGGGGAGACACCCAAAAAAGCATCTTCACAGACAACCTTGTTTTGTATTCATTCCAAACTCTTAAGATAGCAAGTCTAACAAAGTGATTATTAAAACCAACATTTACTTTAACCTTATCATACCATAAATAGCCGTGCCATCCAAATCTTAATTCATGGCCTTCTAGCACAAAGCAAGACAGGTATTAAGTGAGTTTTGCATCATTTTTACAACCTTTCTTGCCACAGTTGTTAAGTGAATCACTAGTTGTCAAGTTAGTAACATGGCTGTTAAGTGAATCTGATTTCCCCAATGACTTTGCTTGTCAGAAGGTTGCAAAAGTTGATCACATCTCCCCAGGACACGCAACTGCCATAAATACATGCCAGTTGCCAAGTACTTTAATCAGGTGACCATGGGGATGCTACAATGGTCCTAAATGTGGAAAAAATAGTCAGTTTTTTTCAGTACTGTTGTAACTTTGAACAGTCATTAAACAAAATCAAGCACAGCCTGTTAAACTTCCATCCCAGATGCCCAGGAATGCCCTACCACATCTTAATGACCATGATTTAGTAATTTTCCCATCACCATTTCATGCTGTGTGTGAAGAGAAGTGCAGCTAGGGGGATGCACTAATCACTGTCCTTTAATTCTCCCAAATTAAACCTGAAAGAAGAGTATCGGTGGCCAGGCTTGTTCCTGAGGCAAAATAAAGCTTAGCCTTTAAGGCAAGACCATTTTTGTCAGCCTATTTTCCTCCTGAATCAAGGACTCAAGAAGTGCCTGTTAACATTGCCATAAAGAAAGTGCTCTGGTAAGCATTCGACAATGGGATTTAAATGAATAAATCCTGAAATTAATAAGAAAATCTCTGCTTTGTCTGATTATCTTACAATGAGTTGTACTGAAATAGATATTGTCGTGTGGGGTTTTGTGCATATGAGAGAGGTCGCTTCAATTCAATAGTTCACACTGTGAGTCAAACTTAACCTATTAGCTCTGGGCAAATCGCAATGTTTAAACATTACGTATGAGTCTGTCTCTGTGTGAATAACAGCTCTGTATTGCGTGGTTATGTAATACACACACACACATATACATACACACATACAAATAATCCCAAGCCTACAGCTACAATAAGAAACTGCAAATGAAAATAGGTCATTCAAAAGCTTGGGAGGATGTCTATATGCACAAAATGAATTTACCCAACAAATGAAAATGCATAAACGATGAGAATATGTGCTAGGAAAGAAGCTTATCATCTTGCCTATAATACTTAAGAAGCATGTATTAAAACATACACAACTGATGCAGTAGTGGGATTCAATTTTTTTTACTACCGGTTCTGTGGGCGTGGCTTGGTGGGCGTAGCAGGGAAAGGATAGTGTAAAATCTCCAGTCAGAGGTGGTATTTGCTGGTTCTCTGAACTACTCAAAATTTCCACTACCGGTTCTCCAGAACTGGTCCAAACCTGCTGAATACCACCTCTGAACTGAAGTTAATACATGTTTCCTGTTTCATTTAAACATCCAATAATATTAACTGTATCTTTACATACAGTAGGTACAGAAATTAAGAAACACCATGAAGGAGGCAACAAATCTTACTTAGCCAAAAATAATTTCCTATGTTCTTTTTTTCATTTCTCAAAAATAAACTTACATGTAATGAAGGAAGACTGGTTCTATAGCACGGGTGTCAAACTCAAGGCCCAGGGGCTGGACCCCAGTCTGTGAGATGCTTAGATCTGGCCCACAACAGACTGGACTGTGATGCTTCTGCCAGTGAAAACAGCTCAGGAGAGCTGTGGGCTCCAGAGCCTTCCCTCAAGCCTCTGGAGGGGCAAAAATGTCCTCCCTAGGATCCAGAGGCTCTTTGGAAGCCAAAAATGGGCCCATTTCTGGCCTTCCTGAACTTCTGGGTGGACTGTTTTTTGCCCTCCCCGAGCCCCCGTGCATGCCCTGTACTTACCTACATTCAAACGGGCCATGTGGGGACTCCTGGGAGGGGCAGGGTGGGCAGGGCCAGCCAGGAATGGGATTTGGGGGCTCTCCGAAATGCACAGAATCTTAGCTAGGGGCTCTCCTGAACCCCTGTGAACCCCAGCAGTCCACCTTGGCTATTATTGTTGTAACTCTGAGGATCTGTTGTTTGTCACTTATACCAGTGGTCCCCAACCACCGGCCCCGGACCGGTACCGGTCCGTGGATCATTTTGTACCGGGCCGCCTATTTTGCTTGGGCGCTGCCATCTTGTTTCAACGGCGCTTGAGAAAGTGCTTCCGGGTGAGCTTGTCGGTCGTCGGTTGGAAAGCGGCATTTGGGTGCTGAAGGAATCCTCGCGCCTTAGTTTCGTCGAAGGGGGGGGAGGCTTCGAACGAAGAGCCGTCCCGATGGCGGTGGAGTCTCGCGTTACTCAGGAGGAGTTTAAGAAAGAGCCCGAAAAGCCCATCAACCGCGAGAAGGTACAAAGGAGGAGTTGAAGGTGGCGGGGAGAAGCAGGGGACGGCTGGCTGGCCGGTCGCTCAGCTCGCCTTGCCTTGGTTGTGCATGCTGATGCCGGTACCGGTCCGTGGATCATTTTGTACCAGTCCGTGGTACAAAAAAGGTTGGGCACCACTAACTTATACCATTGTGAAGTTTGAACCATTCATTAAACGAAGGGTTGTAAGTCAAAAATACCTGTAATCCACTCTCTTCTTTTTTTTTTAAAGTACCTCATCCCTGCAGAATCTCCTCCTAGGTTACACTTTTAAAAATTACTATATTAGAAGCAAGTGTGGCAATGATACTTTTATATTATAGGATGGAGAAGGTCTCCTCCTTTTTTTCTCCCAAGTGTTTATTGTTTTGTAGAGGAAGGCTTATGTTTATATAACCATGTTTAAAACTGTATAAGCTTACTGGACATTTAACACATCTATGGAACTCGTTATCAAACAAACAACAGCAAAATGCGTGTAATCAAACACATTTATTTGTGCTTTGTCACTGAATATTTGGAAGTTTACACTTGTAGGTGATCCTGATCCCAGCTGATTTAAGCCATCACATTGGTTAATATTAATTCTGATATTTAGTGCTGAAGATTTTAAGATAATAAGCTTCCTTATGGAGCCTTTTATTAGTAAGAATACCCAAACACTTACACACACAGAACAAAGATATTTTGTCTAATTTCCCCTTGGAAGCTGAGGGTTTCCATAATCAGGGAGCTAAGCTACCTCTTTCCACAGTGACCAACAAAGTTGTCTATTTATGAAGACTCAAAAATAGGTTGTAAAGAAAGCAATCCTTTCCTACTCTTTTTATCCAGTAACTGAATATCCAGAATGTAGCTGCTCTGGCTAGCAGGTAAGTAATGAATCAGGCATATTTGAAGACAGTGCCTACTCTGGAAAGAAAAGATTGTCCGTTGGTATTAGATTGGTGGTGGGGTTTCTTTATGACTTGTGGACTTCAACTCTCAGAATTCTTGAGCCAGCAGGAATATGGCTGGCTCAGGAATTCTGGGAGTTGAAGTCCACAAGTCATAAACGGGCCATAGTTCCCCATTCCTGCATTAGATACTCAGCAGGCAAATCTTCGTGTTTTTCCAATGTGAGCTAATATAAAATGATGAATAAAAGGGAAGGAAGCATTGTGGTACAGCTGTATAAATAATCTCTATCTTGGTAACTATGGTTTTATCAAAGAAAGAAAAACGAAGCAAAGCTTTCAGTGTGGTATAAAAATGTTGTGAAGATTGTTGCTGCATTGCTTTCATTTGTCATTCAACCCTTTTATATACATGAGATGAAGTTGATCTGACCCTATAAAAAAGAATATCTACAATAATAGGAAACAATTACGGAACTATCAAATAAACTGTAGCACCATGGAGAAAAATCTCATTTATTGGTCATTTTAACTGGTGGAAAACAACTACATAAGTCCTTGACTTATGACCATAATGGAGCCTGCCCATAACAGTTGTAAGATGTCATGGTCATAAAGAGAGTAATCGCATGACTGGCCTGATTTTAGATCTCTTCTTTGCAGTGGTCGTTCCAGTATTTGAGAGTTTGCCAGAGAAGGGGGAGTCAACTTATTTTCCAAAGCACCACAGGGCAGGACAAGAAACAATGAATGGAAACTAATCGAGGAGAGAAGCAACCCAGAACTAAAAAAAATCTTCCAAACAGTGAGGACAATTAACCAGTGGAACAGCTGGCCTTCAGAAGTTGTGGGTGCTTCATCACTGGAGGATTTTAAGGAGAGACTGGACAGCATCTTGTCTGAAATGGAATTGGGTCTCCTTCTTGAGCAGGGGGTTGGACTAGAAGACCTCCAAGGTC